CTACGGCATCAGGCCGGCCTACCGCATCAGGCCGGCTACGGCATAAGGCCGGCTACGGCATCAGGCCGGCTACGGCATAAGGCCGGCTACGGCATCAGGCCGGCATACCGCATCAGGCCGGCTACGGCATCAGGCCGGCATACGGCATCAGGCCGGCATACGGCATCAGGCCGGCCTACGGCATCAGGCCGGCATACGGCATAAGGCCGGCTACGGCATCAGGCCGGCATACGGCATCAGGCCGGCCTACGGCATCAGGCCGGCATACGGCATAAGGCCGGCTACGGCATCAGGCCGGCATACGGCATCAGGCCGGCCTACGGCATCAGGCCGGCCTACGGCATCAGGCCGGCCTACGGCATCAGGCCGGCCTACCGCATCAGGCCGGCTACGGCATAAGGCCGGCTACGGCATAAGGCCGGCTACGGCATCAGGCCGGCTACGGCATAAGGCCGGCTACGGCATCAGGCCGGCATACCGCATCAGGCCGGCTACGGCATCAGGCCGGCATACGGCATCAGGCCGGCATACGGCATCAGGCCGGCCTACGGCATCAGGCCGGCATACGGCATAAGGCCGGCTACGGCATCAGGCCGGCCTACGGCATCAGGCCGGCCTACGGCATCAGGCCGGCCTACCGCATCAGGCCGGCCTACCGCATCAGGCCGGCCTACCGCATCAGGCCGGCTACGGCATAAGGCCGGCTACGGCATCAGGCCGGCTACGGCATAAGGCCGGCTACGGCATCAGGCCGGCTACGGCATCAGGCCGGCATACGGCATCAGGCCGGCATACGGCATCAGGCTGGCATACCCATAGTAATGCGCATTATCAGAGTTTTCTGTCTCTGCTCTCCTTACAGCCAATCACACTGTTTTATTTCCTGATTTAGTCCGATTTTTGTCGTAGTTTTGTGCATAAAACAACAAAAAATGTCTTTTACACACATTAGTTAAAAAAAAAAAACATTTCCATGTGTGACTCCGCCCCCATGAAACCACTACTGCACCATGCCGGGAGGTTGTCGTTTCAATGAACGTTGGCTGGAAGATGAAAAATACAAATTATGGATTAAACGGGGACAAACCCCACGAGTCGCCTCTGGTAAAGTCTGCAAAAAAGATGTGCAGCTTTTCACAATGGGCGAGTCTGCGCTGTCGAGTCACATGAAGAGTAAGACTTTTAAGTAAGCCAACTGAAGTAGCCTAGTACACGTTAACGTTAGCGCCTATTTGTTTACGCTAGTAACTGCTAGCTAGGAATTCACAGGCTAAGTTACTGAGTGACTGAGAGTACGCTGTAATAAAGTAATGTTAGTATTGCAGTGTTTCCTGCAGCACTGTCTTGGCGAGGCGGTCGCCAACGTTCCAAAAAACAAACAAAAAAAAGAACCGAAGTTTTAATTCATTGCCAGGCCCAGACCTTCAAACAGCATTGATAACTCTACGGCTGATAACACTGAATTGCGACACCGTCTGGTTGGTTATATTACTACGCCATGGCAGAGGAGTCATTTTCTTTGATCATCCGAGGAATAATTTTGACTATGTATTGGTATGTAATTTACGTTGTAGTAAGGTGCTGGAAAAAGTTTTAAAATGGATCTTGAAAGTGCTTGAAAAGTGCTTGATTTTGACTTTGGAAGAGGTGTACGAACCCTGTTTTCTTTTTAGGGCTTTCAGCACTAAATTGCCCAAATATCCAAGGCAGCGCGTTTCACTCTAGTGAGCTTCATGTTCCTCTGCTACTGGTTTGGCTTCTGGATAGACGAGTCCGAGTAGCGCCATCTCACTGCGGAGCTGAGTCCCACCTGGTTTATAGACGCACAGTGTGAGCAGGTAGATCGCATCAGAGCGTCGGGTCGCAGTGTGAGAACAAACATCATGAGCTGGGAACTTTTAAACCCTGCGGTTTGGTCGTACCGTCTGAGCTGTAGCTGCGTGCAACGATTAGAAAAATCGTCCAGTCTATGGCCGCCTTAATGGGGCAAACAACTCTGGCCAGCAGTTAAAACCTTCCAGGTTGAACTAGAAAAGAAGTGCTGACCTACGAACATGAGCCGACCGATCGGTTATCAGTCAGGAGGGAAAACACTGAATCTTTTTAACCTCATCAGGTCTCAGGTTCAAATCTATAAACATTGATTTCCTGCTGCTTTCACTCAGCTCAGTGATTCCAGGGCTCTGAAAACTTGTTTTCCAGCCACAGAGGTTTCTGTTTGTGATTCAGCTTCACACATTTTAGGTAGGGATCATTTTTTATTTCAGTCTAAGATAACCTGATCAAATACAAACACAAGCTGTAGACCTATAGGAGGAAAAGGTTTTAGTTTTCTTTTAGCTTCTGCTCTGATTTTGGGGGAAACAAACTGACCTGAAGGCACCAAACGCTGTCCAGAGTAAAGTCTTAGTGGCGCCGTCCACCCAGCAAACATGATATGCTTGATAGCAATGAGGACACAGATTAACGTTTAGAGATTTATTGAAATGTTTGTTGATATATCGACAGGATTCAGCGGAATCTGGAAAATCTGAAGGTAGAGATGCATTAGTGGCTGCACAGGAACATCTGGAGTATAGCTCAGAAACAAAGCCACTGACCTTCAGAGAGTGTGTGAGAGAGCCGAGATAATAAAGATACTAGAGCAGACTGACGGGGAGCTGACAGGCTGCGAGTTCGAATCCCTGAGTTTGATCAAACTCAGGGGAAATCAGCCAAGGAGTCAAAAGTATTAATGTTCGTTACTTCAGTAGAAGTAGAAATCCTGCTGTTTAAAAACACTTTTATAGAAGTTAGAGGATCAACTTCAGCTTTTTACTCCAGTAAAAGTACAATTTTTAAAACTACTTAAACCTTAAAAGTCAAAGTACTGCAGGAATAACTGTTAAGGACAGAAGCTTTACTTCTCTACCCGATTAAAGAAACATATTTCTACAATTCTCGTTGATAACTTCCTTATGTTATGTTCAGACCGCACACGCTAGAGGCAGCAGAAGCAGCTAGTTTATAGTTTAGTCGTGCTTGTTTGATGCTAGGTTGATGCGCAGGTGCAGCAAAATGTCCTGCAGCGTGTCATGAACGTCTGGCATGCAGGACACACAGCAAATGCAGCAGCTGCTGGAGTTAAAAAATGTAACTTCAGCTGCTGGACGCGCCGCATCAACCAATGGGAGAAGCTGATCTGGGAGCTGGCAGGGAGTCAGACGCAGCACTGCTGATGCAGAGCGCTATGATCACTCCTCTGAAACAGTTTATTAACGCCTAAATTAACTTCGAATGTAGAAACCTGCCGGCAGAATATGTTGGCTTTTATTATCCTGCTGCCTGCAGTTTGTAGCACAGACCTGAAAAACGCTAACATCTACTTCCAGCCGCCACCAACAGGAGGGGAAAACCCTGGAGAGGCGAGCGGGCCTGAGGCAGCTGCTGCTGGGGATTCCCAGTGACAGCGCAGCGCCGGTATGTGGGGGTCTGAGCGGCTCCCACAGAGAAATAATCTTTGAAGGCAGGATGGTAATCTGGATGAACTGACTGCACAGACCATGTTTTCAGGAGGACTTTCTCACTTCAACATAGATTCTAACTACTTTCTACCCGCTGATCACAGCTAATATAGCAAAGCTGCTCTCTGGCATCGACTCACTTTACTGGACGGCTGACCTTAATGTGGATCAGAGATGAAGCAGCAGAAACATTTTTGTTGCTTCCAGTGCTTGCGGTCTGAACGGAGCAAAATACTTCATTTTCTTAGTTTTATAACTAATGGTAACAGTGTTAAATTTAACTTTAAATCATCTTGAAAAACCATTTATTTTGGTATGTGTTGAACAACAAGTTGGGGCAGCACCGAGTCCGACCACAAAGAATTGAACTGTCTGGATGAAACCAATTGTTTTGATGGGGTTTTTATTTTAAATACCAACAGACCAGAATGAAAATGAGCTTAAATGGAACAAACAAATGAGCCTGTTTATAAAACGTAAGGAGTAGAAGTAAAAAGTTGCCTAAGAAATAATTCAGTAAAGTATAGATATCCAACATTTCTACTGTAGTAAGGTAGTGAAGTATTTTTACTTTGTTACTTCATACCTGTGAAAATGATAGCACACAGTGAGAACGCTTAGGATTTACCAAGGCAGGAGTTTGGCAGGAATGGGTGATCAGAAGACAGAATCCCAATGAAGGCTGTTGAAGTAGAAGTAGGTGAAAGGATCCGAGGGTTTTGGTTTGAATCATTTGTCGGGGAACAGAAACGAGGCCAAACAGAGGGTGCCAAAAGCCAGGAGAATTTCCTAAATGAGCGAGAACCAGAAAATACAGAAGGCCGAACCGTGATCAAGATCAGGTGGAGGATAAACGCTGGACATTTACTCACTCAAAGGCTTTCTATAATCTAGCACCGTTTGCCAGCCACTGAGCAGAGTATAAAGTGTGGACAGCAGGTGGAGATAATGAGGCGTAGTTAGGCTGCAGGCAGGGGAGACACAGGTAGAAACACAGAGAGGAGGAGGAGACAGGACGGTCCCGACAAACAGGCCAGAATCAGCAGAGGGAGACTTTTCCATAGATCCAGGGACCCTGAAGCTCCTTTCAGCCACTTTCATGCAGAATATCATGCTTTGGTAAATTAGAGTAGGAAGACAGGTAACTGGAAAATGTACACTTTTCATTTCCCCATGTGTCGGCCTCCAGCTCTGTTCTTTCCTCTGACTGAGACCAATCTTTTAGTTGAAACAAAATGGTCTCCAAGTCATTTACATTCATTTTCATTAGTTCTTTTATTCATCATTCAAAAGCAGGAAATGGAGCAAGTGGACTCGATGTTTAATTTCCCTACAAGTTATAGACGTGTTCTTACTGATCTCCTTGTCCTGATTTCATCCTATATTCTAAATGTTTGTTGATATATATGATTATAGACAAAAGGCTAATCCTAGTTTTTAAGCTCTCAAACTCAACCCTCAAAGTAGATTCTGACGTTCTGGACGCTGTCTTCCCAGTGAGCTGAACAACAACCGCTTTGAGGTGAGCCATGTTCACAAAGTGGAGTGTGTGGTGCCATGGCTGAGCGACACGCTGGTCTTCTTCACCATCTCGCTGCAGCTGTGTCAGCAACTCAAGGACAAGGTGGGCATCCAACTGATCTCCGTCCTGCAGCTGTGACCCCTTATAGACGCCTTTATTCTTCTACCAAAAGTTGGGCAAGGTGTTGAAGTTAAGCCTTTGGAATTGGTTTGGATCAAAATGTTCAGCAGTTTCCATCGAGGGCGTAGGTTTGATTTCAGCTTTGGTAGGGACACTATTCTTCAGTGTCATTGGTCCTTTGCAAAAAATATGCATGCTCTTTTTTATGCTTAATGTGAGCTTCAGGGCTCATTTTGTTTAAAGAGATCAGCAGCATTTCTTGCTACATTAATACAAATCTTATAAGCACTACATGCACTAGATGCTGTTTATCAATATTTAAAGCATCACTGGCTCTGATGAATGTGGAATTAGGACTTTTTCCACTTTGAAAAGGATTGCATTTAAATTTACCTGCGACTAAGACAGTGTCTGTTTAACCAAATATAGTCTATAATATGTGGATTTATCCTGTTTTCTTCTGAAGATATAGAATTGTGCAGAGGTAAACAGAGGTAAAACCCACTCTTATTTTTTTTTATCTAATATGCTCTCTCTGGATCATGCAAAATAATACATTCAAGAGACGGAAAATAAATGTATTATATTTACATGTGCACTGGAACTAGAAGAGGAACTGACACTGAGCATTTAAAGTATTAATATTAGAAGTTTTACATCTGGGCTGTAGTTACTCTGTGTAGCTAATTTCATGTATTTTATCTATGGCTGAAACAATTAATCATATTAACAAATTATTTAAATAATCGTGAACTAATTTAGTAATTGATTAATCGTTAACTGGAGTATAGGGTCACTAAAATGTGCCTTTAGCCGACAGAGCGACCCACTTAGAGCAGAAATTATACCAGGATTGTAAAAAATATGTTAACATTTTGCATTTAAGAAGTAAAAAAAAAAAAGTTTTTGTCTGTCAATATTCTCCATCCAGAACTCCACCAAAGGAAACTTTTAAACGTTTCTGTTTCACCTGGTTTCATTTCATAAAAGATCTTTAAGAAGCCTTTGGCTATCTGATTAAAAGATAAAATAAAATAAATCCTAACGTTGTTAACTTAAATTTCTCAAGTTTCACAAATCAAAAAACTCTCTCCTGCTTCTTTACAGAACTCCAATCAGAGGCTTTTGCCTGTTTTAGCGTAGATAATATTTTTTTTTATTTGGACTAGTTTCGTAGCCCAATATTAATTTATTTTAGCGTCTTTTTTTTTTTCGCGCTTCAAGCACCCGCGGGCGCGCACATACAGCCTAGAAAACACGCAATCAGAAAGAGAGAAGGCGGAACTTAAGGCAGAATAATCAGAGAGTTAAACCGCGCAGCACAGTTGATGCGCTGCTATGTGAAAGGGACAGGAAAGAGCAGGCAGCTGCAGCTACCAGGCAGAGAAGCTGCGAGAGGACAAGAAGCGGCTGCTGTAAAGTAAATTATAAACATGTTGTTTACATCCAATTATTGGTAGGGACAAATAGGTCAGTCCAAAATTTTGGTAGGGACATGTCCCTATGGTCCCTATGCAAACCTACGCTCATGGTTTCCATGCAGTCAGACCCTGAGCTCCACAAATCAACCAGACAGAGTTAGCTAGGGACATGCTAACCTCATAATTAATGATAGTCTTTCATGTTAAAACAAAAAAATGTTCTGTTTCATTTCTATCTAGAATTAAACTTTTCTCCTAAAGATCAACAAGTGACAATAAGACCTAATTAATACCAATTCTATTCAGTTCTATTCAGTTTATTTCTATAGCTCCAATTCACATCATGTCATCTCAGGTCACTTTCCAGTTCACCAGATCATCCAGTCAGATTGATTCAAAGTTTTCTATCTAAGGAAAACCAGCTGATTGCATCGACTCATTGACTCTTCAGCAATCCCTCACACTAAGCATGCTTGTAGCGACAGTGGAGAGGAAAAACTCCCTTTGAACAGGAAGAAACCTCCAGACATTGGATTACTTCTTCAGCCCCTTCAGTTATTTACTGTCGCCGGTAGGAGCTTCAGCTGGAGAGGAAGTGTTGGGGTCGCTATGATTTAAGGAAATTAGGACCGGCCCACCGGTCAGAGCCTGCATCCAGGAAGCTTTTTCAATCCAAAATGTCAGAAATAGCGTTTAGTTCCAGGTTTTATCCAGCAGCCCAACAAAGCCTGGTTTTAGTTTAGAAAACATGCAAATAGAAACGGATGAACGGGTCCCCCCCTTTGGAATGGGGGTCGTTTGGCTTCTTTGTTAGCCTGCAATACCCCATACCTGTGGACATTTGAATTGAAAAAGCTTCCTGGTTTCAAACTCGGAAACAAAGTCCAGTGGATTGATTCTTCTCTAGGTTTTTGGATTGACTGTGACCTGGATGAATGAGAGTCATCACCAGCTCAGGTAATAATATGTTTAGACCCCAGAAAACATTTGATCCTTAAGAAACAGGTGCAATATGGTTTGTTCGAGTGGCGTTGCAGTATAATGACGTCATAAGAAAGGACAAGGCCCTGAGCAGATCTGGTACCTACACCGGCGGTTTGCTGGAGGTACGGCGCTCCAAACAACAACTGCAGATTTTACTGGGAAATATAATCCTGATGAAGTGATGAACATGGGATGTTTGGAGGTGGACTTTCTCACTTAAAAACGCATTCAAACTATTTTTCCAACTGATAAAGTAAATAAAGCCGAGCTGCCCTCTAGCTTGAAGCTACAGAACAGAGCAGATAAAGATCCAGAGCGTCAAAGCAAGCGGACCACGGTTTGATCCGGCGTCCAGATTTCTGAGTTTTTGTCACTGAAAAGGTGTCCTGTCTGAAAGCAGCATTTTGGTTTTACATTCATTCCGTTTTTTTCCTTTACTGCTTTTTGATCTTTTGGAGAGTTTTGGTAAATGTTGCTGTTTTTACTTGACAGTTGAAGCTAGTTTCCTCTCCTTCCCGCAGATCTCCGTCTTCTCCAGTTTCTGGAACTACAGGCCGTTCTGATCCAGTCCGTCCTGCAAAAACCGGATCATAACCAAACTAACCAATCGAGTGTAAGGGAAATGCTGCAAAGCTTTTTTTTTTTATTTTTATATGTATTTATCACACATTCAATCAGCCTGAGGTGTTGCACGATCAGCGTACGCCTCTGGACATCAATATTCAACGTATGTATTTGTGTCAGGCCCGCAGGCTGACACGCCTCTACCGGTATCTGGCATCACTAATCAACTGGAACGATTGAATGTGAATGTTATTTAAAAAGCAGCTTGTTCCTGGAAGTTGTCCCAGGTTAACACTAAGTATCATCACAGCAGGGGGGGGGGTGTCACCGCCCTTCCTGCAACGCTCAGTCTGCTCCTATGAAGAGTCAGTTCATGTCTGGAAGGGGAAACCTTCAGAAGCACAGAGAAATCTGCTGCTTCGTCTTCTCCGGTCAGTGAACGCAGCTCCTTTAAAGGACTACTTCCTGTTTTTAAACAGAGATTCTGTGATGTCATCAGTAACCTGCAAGGGGAGTGAACCAGTAGAGCTCCGACGCTCAGAACAACAGACCATTGGTACATTTATATTTTGGATGTCCAGCCAATCGGCGTCACATTGTTTGCTCCTTTAATTGCCAGATTTGATTTGTTTAAGAAAAAATACTTATATAACTAGAATCAATTTAATGAACAAAGCAGGGTTTGGTGATGATGTGGCATCTAAGGGACAGAAACTGTGAAATAATCCTTTAAGAGCCGCCGTGTTCCACTGACAGCTAAAAATGAGGACAGACGTAGGAAGCTGTTCGCTCTAAATGCAGCTGGACACTGGAGCAGAAATCTGCAGGCATTTCAGGAACAGAAGCTAACTGATCATTTAGCAGAAGATGAGATAAGTTAGAAAAAACAACAACAGCGCCCCCTCCAGGCAGGATTTCCAGCTGGGAGAAATTCTGGGTTCCCTGTCCAATATGGCTGCCGAACAAGCTGCAGGTATAAACTATATCTCTTAGCACTTCTAATTGTTTGTTACCACTGAACCCATGAAAAAGGTGTTTGTTTTGTGTTTAAAGGCCTGAAACGGGGAGGAAGAAATAATTATTGGTTGTTGCGTCTAAATCCCTCCGGTTTGCGATGGAGACGCAGCATAAGATACTAAAGAAAATCAAGAATTCAGCATTTATTTAGCTTTAAAACATTAACTCAGCCTCTCATTGTCACCACTGCTGCTGCCAGTACCAGTATGAATCCACCAATCACTGGGAGGCCTGCTGGTTTTAAACCAGACCCACACCTCTGATGGGTGGAGCTCCATTTCCAGCTGCTTCATACCTCTTTGATCCCAAACCATAAGCTAAGACGCATGAAGCCATCTGTTGTTATTTATTAACGTGAAGCAGTTTATTGTGTGTGTGGACCCAGAAGGCCCGGCGTCTACTCTGCTGACGCTGCAGCTTTGAAACCTCCTCCAAGCCCTGCTGAGCTCTTTCAGGTAAAGGCTTCTGCTGCGACCAGATGTTTCCTCTCCTTTGGTTGAGCAGACAGAGTCCAGAAAGGCTCAGAGGAGAAGCAGGAGGTTGTTTCTGCTTCTGCAGCGACAGCAGCAGGAAACTGGAGCAGGAAAAGGAGGCTTTAAACACATTCCTGCTGTTTAACCCGTAGGTAACTCCGTGTGTCACCCGATTCTTAATCTGTGGATAATTTATCTAATTCTGAACAAATAGCTTGAAAGCTTTGTGTTGTGAAAAGCTGTCTGTAAAATGTGGAAATGATTTCTCTGTGCAATAAAAGAGTGAATGAAGTCGCAGCTTTGGATCCGTCCTCATCTCTGCTTTCATGTCTTCTTCTCTAAACCAGGAGTTTCCAAAATAACAGATGATTAGAGGTATTGCACCAAATATTTATGAAGAAATATATTTTATTTTATTGTGCATTTTAAAATGCCATTGTTTAATATTTGAATAATGTATCCTGTAAATAATCCGCTTGATGTTTTGCAACCTCCTCCTGGGACTTTGGGACCCCGTCCTCTAAACTTTCCTCATTTTTCATCCTAAGACTTCATTGGATTTTCTTTAACAGATAAATGTTAAAAGGTTGCAAGTACCCCCGGTTGGATCCCCACATCCTCCACACTGGCTCCCTGAGCGCCGCACAATGGCAGCCCACTGCTCCCTAAGGGTTAAATGCATAGAAATTTGAGATCAATAAAGTTCAATATAAAAAAAATTATTATAGATGATCCAACGCTGACTATAGGTCCTGCCAGTGAACTAATCCACTAGTAAACATGTTCTACGTTTTGCTAGAGTCTGAAAAGAATCAAGACTCAGAGGAATGTTACTGCAAAAAGGAAAGGATCGTTCTTAGACGGGTGGCCTCAATTCTATTCAGTTTATTTCTATAGCTCCAATTCGCATCATGTCATCTCAGGTTACTTTCCAGTTCACCAGATCATCCAGTCAGATTGATTCAAAGTTTTAACAGGAAAAAAACCTCCAGCAGAACCAAGGAGACAGAAGCAGACATAGAAAAAGAAGCATAGATACAAAAGGCAACTGTCAACCAGCTCCACAGGCGGCCCCGTCCAGGAAACACACAGCCAGGCAGACGAGCTCCGAGCCAGCTCCCATGTCAGAGGATGAAGAGAGCACATCCAGTTAGTCACAGTCAGAGAAACAGGACTACACTGGAAAACAGGCCAAGCTCCAACATCTAGAAACAAAGGTGTTGATGGCAGCAGCACAGCTGATATTTCTCTCCAGGATGGAGTCACAGCCAAACAGGAACAGACCAGATGAAGCTACTATGAGAAAAAGCAGAGAGAGCAGAACGTTAGAGATTGAACTAACAGATTCTGCAGAGTGGGAGAATAGAGATAGAATGAAGCAGAATGATGAAAAAGGGGTCCCTATGTCCTCCAGCAGTCTAAGCCTATAGCAGATGATGGTGGTAAGTAAAGACAATTGGCCTCAAAGTTCAGATTTAAATCCACAGTTTTCATATAATTATTACAAGGTTATATTTAACAACATGAAATGCAATTTCATGTTGTTTTTTTTACATTTATTTCCCCATCTTTCTAAGATCCCCCTAACAACCGTCATTTATTTATTTTTTCAGAGAGGACTGCAGACACAGAACTTTCCTTCTCCTCCATCAAACACAGAAACTAGCTCTGAAGAGAGCCTGAATTCTGTTTGTCATCTTTCACGTCCGCATATGGATGTGAATAATTCATCTCTGTATTGTTGCTGTTAGAACACCGCTTTATTGATGACAGTTTATCTCCACATGAAGGCTGCTTTATTGATCAGAATCAGAAATACTTTAATAATCCCAGAGGGAAATTACTTTTGTTATAAGCTCCAGTTACAGTTTTATATGATATATACACACATCCAACTATACAATATAATAAAGATAAAAATAAGAAGAATAAAAAGAGATAAAATATATACACATATAGCTCTTCTGTATATATATCTGTACGTATATCTATGCATATGTAAAAACTAAATCCAAATAAAGTGAAAATCCAAGTAAAGTGATACGTGGCGTGCGATCACTTGAGGGAGGCGTTATAGAGGTTGATGACCACAGGTAGGAATGATTTCCTGTGGCGCATTGGGTAGGAGGAGTCTTCTGCTTATTGATGACAGTTTATCTCCACATGAAGGCTGCTTTATTGACTCCTAATGGAAACTAAGGCGCCTCAAATGACAGCTTTTGTTTCCCAGCAGCCTGGTTGACTGACATCGACTTCCCGCCGCTTCTAACCTGTAGATCACGTGACAGACGAAGCTTCGATCAGCAGCTGTTCCCGGTCAGGGCGAATACGCATGCGCAGAACCGTTGAGCGATATACAGGCTATGAAGCTCTGCGCGTGCGTGTCTGAGCGTTCTGTTCGCGGACGGGAGGGTGGAGTCATTGTGACTGGGCGGCAGGGCGGAGTCATAGTGACGTCACACATTCCATTCCATTGAGAATTCATTTCCAGGCTGGGTTCCAGAGTGATAGCATCATTTTATGTTTACTCTTAGCTTAGAAGAATTAAAACCGATTTCAGAAATGGACGCACAGCTTAGATCAAAGGAGCAGCCGACTGGAGACATCAGTGTCTCATTTAACAACATGCAGGACATCATGGAGCGCCACCTGGAGAGGCTGTCGCCGCTTCAGTGGACCTTGCTTGCTGAGGGTCTAAGTGATTCGGAAATATTAGGAGTCATGACCGACATCATAACAGACGTTTTTCAGCACTATGTGGTGAAAACACTGAGAAACGTTATTCCAGGGATTGAACAGAGTACGGAGATTGGAACCGAGACCAAGATCTCAGAAGATCAGATCAACATGACTTTGACTGATTTGATCAACACAGAA